CACTCTCGTCTCATGTATCAACATATATCCGCAAAAATCATTCAACATTGCTAGTCAAATATAATATTCAATTAATTTTCATGAATTTCGGTTACTAACTTGCCACTGGCGGGTCGTGCCCTCCAACAATACTCGGTGAAGGAATTAGATGACATATGGCTGTAGACGGTTATGAATCGAAATTTCCCTCCACATCGGTGTTCGATTAGTCGCTTTCGGGAATAACCCCTTCATTTGTTCGCTCTTCTAAGATGTTTGTACATCACATCGGAGTATATGACGCTCATCAGCAAGTGTACCGATCGCACAAGTAATATAGTAAGTAAGTAGAGTATCGTCTCTACAGGGATTGTAAACCAAGTACTACAATAGCCTGTCCCCTTAAGTTGGAAAATCCGTTTGTTTTTGGAAATTGTGAATTGATAGTAAAATAAAGACAGAAAATTAAAATGTAATTCTTAATTTAATAAGCAACGATAAAGTTTGGATTTTTGGGAGAATAATGAATAAACATTGCAGCTAAGGTACACACACCATATGATCCCCACTTCAAACTCCGGATTGATTAAAAATGCTCATTTATAAAAATAACCCAGACAATTTATCATCTAAAAATAATTAGTTAAATCCCAATTCCTTGGTAATCTAACCCTTTAATCCAATTGATCCCGCTTGAAATTAAGCAATAACCACGATAAATTAGACGACTGCAATTCACACAAGTCTATCCCTAGAGCATGTATAAATTGTTACTTTACCCCCTTTCAGAGTCAAAACCCCAATTTTCCTATTGCGAGCCCTAATTTCCGGTTGATCAAGTCTTATAGAGAAAATATACAATATGCACAGGGTAAAGATAAAATATATTAAAATAAACGAGCACAAATAAATCAATCTATCGTAAAAAGGGTTCACATAGGGTTCGTGACCCTAACTACAATAAAAAAAGACTAGCCAACCATAGACATGGCTGACATACAATTATAAAAGAGAAAAGAAAAGAAAATTACTGTGAAGAACAAAGAACGATGATCTGCTCCAATGATATTCTCCTCCTACTGGAACTCCTGTGCCTTTCTGTCGTAATCCTCTTCTCCCCTTTCTTTCCTCGCTACGTCACTTAAATTCTTCAGAACATTACTTTCGCAAAATTCGCGCGGGTTGCGCGAGGTTGGCACTGCAACCGCGCCAACTCTCTGGAATGTGTATGGCAAATGCAACTCTACGCGAGGAAATGATATTCTCTCTTCTCCCCTTCTCTTTCCTCTTTCCTCGCTATTCGCGCGGGTTGAGTCGCGCCAACATCTGCGCGAGTCGCACAAATTCCTTTTTTTCTTCTTTGTTTTTACCTATAAAAATATAATAAAAATGTGAGAAATAAAATGAAATGAAAAAATAAATAATAACTGCAATTAATATACAAAAAATACTCTCCTATGACTAAATTCTTATTATTTTTTATTTGAAAAATATCACATGCCAGAGGCACATCAGTATACTCATCTTGGGTAGGATGCAATTCAAGTGACATTGGTACCGGTGGTGGGGTGACATATATCAATCTTCATGATTCACCAACGGCTCTTTATTCATGTCGATCGACTGAATGGAAGGGTCAGAACGTTGACTTTTGGTATGTCCACCGGAGTCTACTTCCGCTTACAGCTCAATAAGTGTGTAGTCTACATTAATTCAAAATGCATCTACTACTAAGGCGATATCTTAATCCTCAATAATCTCCACCGGAACCTAACTTTCTTTATCCGAGGTGCATCGAGAAGTCAAGCGAGATAGAGATTGACCACGTTGTAATCTCAATTTTTTATATATTGTCTTCTTTAGTTCAGTAAAGCTACATCGTGGGCTCATGCGAAATACTTTTGTATCTCCTTCAAAAACTTGCCCATTAGGACCAAAATATTTTCTCCCATTGTAATAGACTAAGACAATTAATGAATCATTGTCATCACTCATTTTGAAAAAATTTGAGTGAAAAAAAGAACAAAAATGCAACTTCAGATGACTATTAATTGAACAATGTGAGAAACGAGATGTAAAAAAGAAGACAACAGAAATTAACTGAATAGAAATGAAATGTAACCACACTGATGTATGAAATGTGAAGGGAAGTGCTGAATTTATTAAACCAAAAACGTTGAATTGTTGGGCTACTTACATATAATATGCTATGCGGCACAGCGAGTATGGTCACATGTCAGAAAAGCTGACACGTAATATGCTATGCGGCACAGCGAGTCGCGTAATATGCTATGCAGCATAGCCTGTTTGACACGTGTCAGAGAAAAGATGACACGTAACACGCAAAGCTGCTAGCGCTTTAGGGCACGTGGCAAGTTGGGGCAGAAGCTCTTTGCCACGTAATATCGATGCACTGTGCAGCGGCTTATATGACCATTAACATGCTGCCACGTGTTCACCTAACTCGCCAGGTGTTGTGGTGGCGAGTTAGGTGACGTGATATTTTGGAAATAAAATTTCGGTCCGTGCATTCAAGTAATTTTTTGTAAATAGTGTGGCATTTTAGTCGTTGTCCCTTTAATCAGTGGCAAATCCAGGACTTTTTCTTATGGAGAACGAAAATAAAATATCAAAGTTACAAGTATTATTAAGAATAATAAGATGAAATAATTATTATAAGTACTTTTTAGGGATGCGCTAATTATTAGCTTTAATAATTTATTAGTTTTAGAAAAATATTATTTTGTACTTATAATAATAAAATAATCAAAAATTAGGAAGGAACACCCTTGCTTTTAAGTGATTATACAATGTTTTATTATAATATTTAACCAATTATCTTTTAATTTATCAAATTGTATTTATTTTTTATTTTTTAATTGGCTAAATATTATAATAAAACACTTTTACATATATAAAATATAAATTTTTATAAATGTAGCTTACATCAAAATTATCCATTCAACCGAAATGGTATATATATTAAACCAGGATGATTACTTGCACCACAAGCAACCACATTATTTTATACTTACATAGGATCTTAGAATGACTCAACCAAACTTCTAAAATACTCTTTACAAATTTTTTCACAATTCCTAGCCTTACAAACTTCCACAAGGCCGAATCCAAGACCAAAGGAAGGCTAGAAATTTGCATCAATTCAATTTACACAACCAATGATTCCTAGAACTCATACTTGGCCCTTAGGTTTCTTATATATTCATATAACAATTTAAGCCCAACCTTTGCCTATTTTCCTTCACAAGGCCGAATTCAAAGGGGAGTTTTTCATTGAATTCTTTTCTTTGTACTCTCAATTAAACCACTCAATTCACACTTCCACATACATATAACCTTCACAAATTATGCAATTTAATTTTTTGCACTCCAAACCCCAAAAAGCCCAACATGGTCGAACCCTACATAGTGGTCCAAGGGATTTTTTTTCAAAATTAAAACACATGTTCATGCTTATTTCACATTCTAATTTTATTAACAACAATCATCAATTTCAAACTCAATAATTTTCCAGTAAAAGTGCTCATAATATTCAAAACTTAAATCATGACATTCAAACCATTAGAATGGAGATTTCTTACCTCAAATCACTTATACAAGGCTTGGAGAACAAAATCCAAGCTTGGCTCCACACAAAAACTAAATCTCTCTCTAGAATGAATAGTAATCTGAAACTTGAGAAGAAGAGAACTCTTCACATAAGCCATTTCAGCCCAAACAAAGTGGTGGGATGGATTCACAGTGATCTATACTTAAAATTTCATGTATGACATTTTGTGTTTTGGTGGTTAGATGAATGAGAAATCAAAGGAAAGAGAAGCTTGGACCTAAGCCCCCTTCCATGGAGAAACTCGGCCAGGAAAGAGAGAGAGAGAGAGAGAGGGGGGAGGGGGGGGGGGGGAAGATGAAGGTGCTAATGAAGTTATAATGATATGTAATCTTTTACCGGTTGTTTTTCTTTCTTACTTTCACTTAAATTGACCCGGCACTAACTTAAAGCTACAGACATATTTTTATTTTTCTGAACTCATTTACATTAAATTTTATTCCCTAAGGAATAGTATTTTCCATTCACAGTATGATTTCTGCATTTTTTTTATGAAATGCACTGTAAATTACTAATTGTCACTGTTTACACACGAAACTGTAAAACTTATAAACTTAACACTTTTGGTCTAAACATGACTTGCTTTGCATATATTGGACTTTCTTATTCTTATTTCATCAATTATTCAGTTCTGGACTCTACCAGTTGCTTAAACACTAGTATAAAATACCGGGCAGAAATACATTCTTGAGATTTTCACGAAAAGTGTCAGACTATACAATTTATCGTTCTAAACTCATATTTGACATCAAAATTGTCAAATTAGATCTCTAAACTCATTATGTTTATTCTAAGCTCTACCGGTTGCTACACAACAATGCAGAACACCCGGCAGAAGGCACTGTTCATGACCTAGTCATGATTCCAGTCAAAATACTCGAAATCACATTCTGAATCTAATTATAACATTTAAATTCTTAAATTAAATCTCTAACTAAGATTTATCAGTTGAAATCATTATAGAGAAGATAAGAGAGGATCAAATAGGAACAAATTAGGATTATGCGAAGTGATTATAAGCCATTAAACTTAAAATTAATCTAATGGTGATTAAATTAGCAGTAATGGTGTAAATTTTTCCAGTAATAAATATAACCCTTACTTTATTTATAACAAAAATAAGACAAAAATATATTTAGTTGCCATTATGTAGTTGCTTTATTTTTAAATAAAAAATTATTGAATGTTTTGACATGGCGACAATGTACGTATATATTCAATAATTTCCGTGGGCCAACTGCCCCATTATGAAGTGTCGTTTTCTCAGAAGCCATCCTTGACGACAAAATTATTTTTCAATTTTCATGCTGGACTACTGTGAATCTGTGATGCTCAGTTCCTCTACCTCTCTCTCCCCCTCAATCCTCATAATGAACTCAAAACAGATAACAGATAACTTGAAACTCAAAATTCGAAGAAATCACCCAGAAATAGAATGTCGAGGCGGGCTGTTACAGCGAGAAAGCAAAACACTGACAAACATTTGGAAAGGCTTTATATACACAAACATAAGATACACCTACTACTACCCATACATTTTCTTATTCACAACTTACAAACCATTTCGCAGCTCAACTAATTGAGACCGAGATGCTAAACCACACACCTACCTCACACACGACCTCGACTGATCAACTCATAACCACATTCATGTATATATATATATATATATATATATATGCACAGAAACTAAACAAAACTGGATACATAAAAGGCCAAAGGGAAACAATCATTTTCAGTCATCCATGGAGGTGAAAGTGATTAGGCTCATTTCTCACACATCGAAAGGAGAAGAAGGGCTTGATCTCTTCTGGCCTGTCTTCTCGTACGCATCTGATGTCGACCTTCTTCGAAACCGGAAGGACTCTGATCTAGGTCCTATAAAAATATATACACACAAACGACACATTAGCATATTTTATACTTAGTGCATAAAACAGACTCATAAATAAATAAAACCGAGTGGGAAAAAAGAAGATTGCAAGTCATTTTAATCTGCTTCACTTTGCTACCATATAAGGAGTTGAAAACCAGATCGATACCCTTCTCTTTTGGTTATGGGCAACGAGACGATATATATATACACGAGTATATTTTTAGACTTAATTTGTTTCCACATATAAAGAAGCATATGATTAAATTGAAATTTGAAACCCGCTTTCGAATTACTCCATCTACGATATATATAATTAGTACGTAAATCACAACATCGACAACGCATATTTTACACAAACTAAGACATGAAACTTTCAAAACACTTCAGGGGATGACTTATATTAATTGTTAAAGCCTTAAAGGCCTCCATCGAATTATATAAAACAAACTCCACAAAAGCTCAGAGTTAACCAAGTTGTAACCTAAATGGGAATGAATAACATTTATATATAACTGTACATGGATATGCACGTTATGCACATCCTTTTCAATATCCGATCTGCATATATCTGAAACGAAACAAAACAACATAACTAACCCACCTCATCACTTTTTATCATCATCCATTATTCATTAATTAAAAATTAGAAAGATAGCCGCCGTCCCGAAAGGACAAAAATACCCCCAATACACAATCGCACTCTCACTCCACACCACTGGCAGCTCTCAGTCTCAGAAACCCAATCCAATGTCTAATTAATTACACATTCTATTGATACGGAGTAGGAAAATAAAATAATAATAACGACCTCACCGGAAAACGGAGACACCGGAGGTGTTGAACCGGCGGGGGAAGCCGGAGCCGATCCACTCTGACTCTGGTACCCAGGTGGCTTCACTATCATGATACTTCGTGTCACTTTCACCGCATCCTCCGGCAAATCCTGACCGTTGGATCTCACGCTTCCCGCATCTGGTTCTGGTCAACCAAAACCAAATCACACAACGGCAATGCTTTAACCCTTAGCATATTTTTCATTTTTAATTTTCAAAAAAAGATAAATCTAGTAACGTTTCATCAGCAAGAAGCAATTATAAAAAAACAAAAAAAAAAAAACTACATCAACCGTTGCATAGATCGTAACATTAAAGTACGCTAAGGGCTTTTGATAATCGCGAAAACATGTATGAGCGCGTGAGATTATAACAATTCAGCTGATGGTTAATACGTGTGATTCTTATCGCGGTTATCGTTATTCGAATAGCAAAAATATGATAGATTTTTTAAAATTGTTATTATATTGTAATTTGGAAAAGGCCAGCACCAGCTCAAGATGAATGGCCAAAATTTTATGCGTACCCTTGCCGGAGCTAGATCCAAAAGCGAAAGTGTGGCGCTTTCGGAGCTTGCCGAGGCCGTTCTCCGGCTGAGGGCCGGCGACGGTGTCATCCCACAAGTGATCGAGAAGGCCCATGGGAAGCAGAGTGTGGGTTGTTTTAGCAGATTAGATCCCAGTGAAGTGAGCAGTTTCTGGAATTGGGATGCAGCATGAGATGAATATTTAACGACAAGCGAAGGCTTTCAAAACAGATCTGCACCATTGATTGGTAATTGGAATCGAAGTTGGAGCTGATTACGTGGCGAGTGGATCTGGATTGTCCTAGAGATAAGGTTAGGCGTACACGTGGGCCCCGAGAATATGGGCTATATGGGGAGCTTTTGGATGAAGGGGTGACGCGTACGAATATGCACTTCAGTGCATCCGGCGGACATTTATTTTATAACATGTAAATAAAAAATATTACATTATTACAAAAAATATGATGATATTTTTTGTTTATACTTTATAATATATCATAAAATAAATGTCAAATTCATTGAAATATTCAATGCATAAGTTGCGCTAAAAATTTATTGGACGAATACATTGCTTGTGTGTGAGAGGAAGGAAACATCACGTGACATGTCATTTTCATGAACGGATTAGTTCCAAAATGCCCATCACTGTTATCCAAGTCGGAAAGATAAGGGCCTTCCTTTTACGAGAATTACGGAAAATGACATTCTTGTAAATCGCTGTTTACACACTTTGTTAAAACTCAATACGTTAAAAACTTGACCACTAGCTACGAAAAAGTTTAAAGACACTTGGCAAACTTCTGTTTACTTTTCAACGCAGGACACGGGGGTTCTCATTTTTTATTCTTTTTACGGAACAAACAAAAGATGTAACATCCACGTCATTCATGAATCATGCTCAGTGGATAAGCAAACGGCCTTTGAAATTAAGAAAAGAAAAACAAACACACAACAGGGCACTCCATTGGAACCAGTCTCACCGCAATCCAATCATTGATATTGGGGCAGATATGATGCAGCCTAAATTAAAAATAGAGGTTAGCTAGTTAAGTTAACCACACAGGAACCACAATTTTCAGCTAACATTTCAATCTCAAGACCACCTTAATTGACAAGGAAACCTTATCCGGACCCGGTGTCAACCTATTTCAGTTATACTTATCAAAAGACCCCACAAGAAATGAGCTTATTTGGTAAGATTTATAGACTTTTTAAGACTTCAGAACTACACTTTGATAACCATAATCATTTGCTTCTTTCACTTGATTACAGCAGATGTGTCCAGTGGCAGGTGCTCATTGCTCATCCAATATCTTCCCAATCCTAGCAAGAGTAGCTAGTAATATCTTTTATTTTTATTACACATTAAGTTTCAAAATCAAATTTTAAGGCAGTAGAATTTTGAGTTTTGTCACATTTATATAATCCTTATTTGGTATTTTAAAAATTTAAAATTATAGGATTACAAGTCTTTTTGCATTTATATGATTTTTGCTTATATCTAGGTTTAACCGAGGTGAGATTTACCCGGTTGCAGTGGCGAAGCCATTAAGTACCAGCTGGTTTTAAAAAATTATACATAGTTTTTAAAAAAATTATGATATAGCTTTGACACTGATTGGATGTTCAAAAATAATACAATTTTAACATGAGTTTTATTACTCTCATTCAACATAAGATAGAAATCTTATGTTGTAGAGAGAAAATAGGTGAGTCCCACCATTACAAAAAAAAAAAGGTGGGGCACGAAAATCGAAGAGAGAGAAAATGAGAGATGATATCATGTTGAAAGAGAATAATATTTCCCTTTTGACATATATTGGGTATTACCCTGTTATCATTAACTGAGTTTATTTCATAGTTCCGTCACTGCCTAATTGAATATTATTCCCTTCCTATGAGGTTGCCGAAGATGCTACGGTAACATTTACTGAGTGGATCACCTGAACACTCGCATACTTGTTTGGAAATTGCATATTAAGGCATATGGTTTAGGAAACTTTGTGATCTATGCGACCATGCAGGATATATATTCAAACTACCACTATATATATATATATATATATATATATATATATATATATATGAGAAAAATATTTTTCTTTTGGGCTTTTGCCCCTCTTTATTACAAAAATAAATAAATAAATAAATAAAAAATTCTGGCAACTTGAGATAAGTTTATCTCCGGCTACTCCAAAACGATGTCGTTTTATTTATTCATTTCCTTATATTAATTGATTCACCTTTGAATTGTTATGATTCTCTTTTTCTCTCTCTTCCTTTATTATCATTGATCCATCTTTGTATGGTTATGATTTAGTACTAGAGATAAAGTTATCTCCGGCAGCTTGAGAAATGATAAATTTAACACCCTGTGTATACCCGGTTTGTTAACATGTCATCGTATTAAGCAACGCTTAATTTAAAAATACGAAATAACTTTTTACTTTCAATTATGACGTCATTATCATTACCAAGTTGAATTACTTAATTCATTTCAAAACATTGCATGTATGTAAAATGCAAATAGACAGTTAACTGAAATACTTCATAAATATATATGACATAAATGTGTCTCTAGTCACGGAACTACAACACGTAGACCGGACAAACCTTGATAGTTTATACAACTCAACAATAACATACTAATCATCAATCTAGCATGGAGAAACCCTGTGCTCATCAAATAAGGCAACAAAGCCAACAAAGAGTCTAAGCTCAATAATAATATAATGACAGAAAACATAAACAGCATCCAATGTCCAGTCATGTCCGCATACAACATATATAAATCAACTAAGCTCCGGCCTCCTGCCGTCAGAGACATCATCCCCAAGTTACCTGAACCTGAAATAAGCGACCCAAACGTGGGGTGAGATCTTTAAACAGAAATCTCAGTAAGACAAGGGGTCCTCAAGGATCTTCCACCCCAAGCTCACTTATATGTGCAATATAAGTTCCAAAAAAAGTTCAACAATATAAGTTTCAAAATAGTGCAATGCAACAAATAATCATGTCATGTGTGTTATAACTAATCTACTGGAAAGAGAAATGCAGGAATACGTCTATTACCAACATTAATGCAAGACGCCGCTTGCACCCATCTACAGTGTCACCGTCTTGTATGACGCCACATACTCAGGCTAACCATCTAAGTGAAATAACACATACATATTAAAAGCCCTTACACATACAGCTAAACAACATTTTCAATTATCAAAGCATGTAAACACATCATGCATATAAATCATTCCCCCATGGGGTATGGTGGAACCACACAATGGCTAAACCGAGGACACGAAAACTTACCTTGCAAGCTAACAATCCAAGCCAAGAGTCCACACAAGTTCAAGGCCCACAAACAGCACAATCACAATCTGTTTATACAATAATTAATCATCAATAATCATTGTTCAAGGTTACATTAAGTGATTAAGGCTTTCTTACTCATTTTAACTTATTTCATGCTGTTTCTGCAGGAGGTATTCGAATACTATACGATTAGTATTCGAATACTCCAGCTCTCCAGAAAGTATTCGATTACTTTCACTTAAGTATTCGAATACCAACACCCCAAGTATCCGAATACCAAAACTCATTGTATTCGAATACTCTCAGTATTCGAATACTTCTTCAAAGGTATCCGAATACTTTTCTTCCCAGAAAAGTATCCCAATACTCCTTTCTCCAGCAAGGAGTATTCGATTACCAGTGGACAAGTATTCGAATATTACACGAAAAGTATTCGAATACTTCTCCAACAGAATGCAGAAATTCGAACAGACTTCTGCATAATCCCAATTTTAAGGGTCCAAACGCGATTGGGAGTCCAATGACTCCCTAAACAGATGTTCATAAGCATGTTAAGAACTCAGAAACATATTCCTTTACTTAAATGATCCAAGTTTTACTTTTTAACCGATTAAACAAGCTTAAATCATCAAAATGACAAAGAGGTGATCATGGTATACCTTCAATCTCCAAAACTCCAAAAATGAGACACAAAAGGAGCTTCCAACTCAGACTCACAGCACTGACTTCTAAGGTTCACGAATTTGACACCTCAAGATGGTGCCTTTCTCCACTAAGCTCACAATTTGGAGCTCAAAATGCCAAGACAAAGGATAAAACTCACACAACTCAGAAGCACAACTCCTTAATCCTCACAAATTCAGAAACTAAACTCAGAAAAAGGTCCCCTACTAGCACCCAAGGTCAGCCCTTACTCACACAAGGTGATATGATAGAGAACAAAGAATAAAAATGGCTTCTTTAGTGAGTTTTATCAAGAACAAGGGAAGAATGGCAAGGGAAAACTCAAGGTTTATGGAGCTCACTCAGAAAAGACACGTTGCATGTACCAAATCAGCCTAGGGTTTTGTGAAGAGTAGTATTTATAGGCATCTTAAGTTAAGCACACTGTGTTAACAAACATAGCTACGCTTAGCATTTTAATCTCAAACTTTGGAATCAGAACCTACTCATTTTTCCAAGATTTATCACATTTTTATTTTATTTTTCGCAGCACCTTTTCGGTACGCGCTTTTACACAGCCATTATCAGTTCTGGCACCAGTTCTCATTATTTTAACTTGAAACTTGTTTTACAAGTCTTATATATTATTCTAGTGACATATACACACTTTTTATAATTTTCTGGGATACTTCATCGGTACGCATTTATACCAAGTAGCAGAACCGGTATCTGCACTTTTCGTCAGAAAAGCGACTTTCAGCATTATTAATCACTTCCTATAATTATTTAAGCCTTATCATAATTATTAGGGTCAATTATGGAATCATTTCCTAATTTCACATAATTAATTAATTAACTTCCTTAATTAACAGTGCGGATTCTTACAATAAGCCCTATATATATATATATGTTATGTCCTTAGGATAGAGATGTCCAGCCCAATAGGCTGGTATGTTACTATTGGATCTAGTCCCCTCTCTAAGATATCTATGGAGGAGATACCATTGAGTCAAGCAGATCACTGTGCACAAAATACTATTAACGGCGTTAGCCAATGAGGTGTGTGTGTGCGCACAGTGACAGCATAACAGTAAGAGAGAGAGCGTAACGTACCTTTAGAGTTTACCTTGTATCTATAGAGGTTACATGTGGATAGAGTGGATGAGTATTTGGTGCCTCTAATAAGGGCCCAGGCTTGCTTGTTATGCTGTCGTATTAGGATTAGTATCCTTGATGGATATCTATCCGTGATTACATTAGATTTACA